CAGAGGAATGTGATCAGAACCAATAGAGGATAAATGATCAATAGTAGTTTGAGGCATAACCTCTAATCATTTATCATTAACCATGGACATATCTAATCTCTTCCATACTCTAGCCTGTGCATCCCTCTGATTACAACATGTGAATGGAAACCCTGTATATCCTAAATCAGTCAAACCACATGCTTCTAGCACACTACTAAACTCAAAGCTCTTATTCATATTGTAAGGCATTCCCCCAAGCTTTTCTTTTATAGATGAGATAACATTGAAGTTCCCAATTGTACACCAAGGTGTATCCATATTAGCATCAAATAATAACCTGTCCCACAAAGGTCTCCTCAAATGATCCTTACATTTAGCATAAATAAAGGATATCATGAACAGCTCAGGGAGATCAGGGTGTTTGAAGTTGCCTGTAATATGTTGCTCATGATTTTCCAGAATATGACCAGTGATTTCATCAGACCAAAACAGCCAAATTTTACCATTAGGATTACTGACTGCATGGTCCATTTGAAGTAGAATTCTCACCATGTTTATTTGAGAATTTCCTGTAAATGGTTCGAGAACAACAATCAGAGTTAAGTGATGCAGTTTCTTGAGTGTTTGAATCCTTTCCAAAGAACCTTGAGTGTTGATACTCCTAGCATTCCAACATAGGGCCTTAATCATGAAAAACCTTTAGATTTGGACCTTGTGATGGGCCTGCCAGTAGTTTGCAGATGTACTGGTAGTTTGTTGCTTGGTTTGTCTACTTTGTTTCCTACCTCTTGGGGATAGACCTTGTTTTGCTGTAAGTTCATGAACTTCTTCAGGCCATTTATCCTTAAAGGTGGAACCAAAGGTATGAGGAGGCTGATTGTTGTTGTCTTCCTCTTCTTCACCAGATTCATGTTGACATCCTGATCCTCTGTGTGTGGTCCCTTATCTGAAATCTGATCAATATTCTTTCTCTTTTTTATAGTATCTCTTCTTTTTTTACTCAACCTGCCTCCTGATTTATTATTGAACTTGTCTTTCTGTTGACCAGTATCAATGTCACCTTGCTGCCCAGTAGTTTTGTGAGTTGAAATAAGGGTATTAAGGCCTCTAGAGTCACTACTAAGATCAACCACATCCTCATGCACAACATGAGGCAATTCCCCCTCCCGTTGGGCACCCCTTCCTGCACATTAGTAGGTGTCTCATGTATCCTCCCAGCCATACCTCCAATAGCTTCCTCAACAATATTCTCAACATTAACAACATTATCAAGGGGTTCAGGAGATGGAAGCATTGAGTCAATACCTGTATCAGTATGCCCCGTAATCACTTCCTTTCCTTTAAAGAGATCCTGTTCCTACTGCTGTTTTAGTGCTATCTAAGGCCTGCTGTCACTCTTGCTGCCAGTATGTTTGTCCATAGTCTCTAAAGTATCTGAGGACTCCTGCACATCAAGATTAATATAGGTGTTTTGAGTAGGGCTAGTAATTATACCTGCCTATTTGGTCAAGTGTTCTATTTGTCTGGTGTTACCCCTGGGAGCCTGTTGTGAATTATTATTCCTCTTCCTTTGTGTTTGCCACTGTTCATCTTGCTGGCTATACCTTTGTTCTAGATCTCTTTGTTGATTGTATGGTTGTTCGTTAGTATCCTCCTTTGGACTAGTTTCTTTGTGACCTTTAAGCTGTTAAGGATTGTTATCTATCTCTTTGGTATTTTTCTTTCTCACAGTTTCCAGCTCCTTTTGTTTTTTATTCTCATCTTTTTGCCTTATGGTACAATCACTTTCCACATGTCCTTGATCTTTACAGTAAAAACAATAGTCAGGGATATTATCATACTCTATTTTCTGCCATCTGCCATCAGTGATATCCTCCCCTATGTAACCCATACAAATATAAAGAGGTCTCTTTTGAGTAAGATCAACTTGTACCTTCACTCTAGCTTGACTACCCCTAGTCTTTTTAATAGATGCAGAATCTAAGTATAAATCCTTGCCAATATGTGAAAGCAGGCTAGACACAAACTCCGTATTATAACAATGCCAAGGTAGTTCCGGCAGAGAGATCCATATAAGGACTATAGGAGTTTCTTCAGCAGGCTTAAAACTAGGAGTCCATGCTTGAATCCTCATCACTTTGCCAGAGATAGTCATCCTTTTTTTAGTCCATACCATATTATAATCAAGCTCATTATCAAGATCAATATAGACATGTCGAGAATTAAAATGTGCAACCTTAACTCCACCAGATAATTGAGTCTGTAAGATGAAATTATTCCTAATAAGATCCATTTTAGGCATGGTGGTGCTAAACTTCCCAATGAGAGTATACTTACAAGCAGCAGCAAAATCTTTAATGATCTCTTCTTTAACATACAGAACAACAGGTAAACCTTGTTTAGTAGTAATTTCAGGGGCTGTCAATGTAATGCTAACATCACTTTTGGCCTGATTATGTCTAAGTTGAGTAGCATAGGTTTGCACTACTGTGTAAGGAGTAGGCTCAGCTACTAGATCAGTTTTAGAAGAATTGGGAGGTTGAAATTGAGGACGATCAATCTAGCAATATTAGTATTAGATTTAGGCACCTGTCGATCAAAATTGCCAGAAATTCTAGGAAAATTAAAGTGATAATCCTGATGTTGATCAGTGCGACTATAATCCCTACCTTGATTACCTTGACCCTACCTTATAGTAGTAGGATGTTCTTATTCTTTAGCAACCCACACTCTCAAAGGATGATTCTCAATTCTATGTAACTCACTACCCGAATTATATGCAGGAATCACACTTGAACGAGAATTATCAATTGGAATCGTACATGTTTCCTTGCCCTGTTTCTTGACTAAATTTTCCAAATGAGAAGTACTAGATTGACCCAATTCTTGAACCTTTTCTTTGCCTGCCCTATGTGGATTTTGTGTTTTTGATAAACTCTGCATATCCTCATTTTGTGGCAAATTCACCGGAATTCCTGTAGATTCACCAGAATTGTCTCTGCCGGTGATTTCACCATGGAAAGTGCTTGAAACTTCGGTGGGATGTCCTCCACGACCAGTGGTACAAACCCCAGTAACTAATTCCGCTCGAATCACCTCATTAGTACTTCGATTTTGATGGCGCCTTTGGGACGACTAGCCTACATTTTTGCCGCAGTAGCCTGCAAATTTCTCGCAAATGGGACGGTGAAATCATGTGATTTGAGTCTCTTGTCACTCTTGGGACGGGGATATCTTGTTTTCAATCCTTGTATCGTGAAACTGACTTAAATCCTCCATAGAAAAGTTTGTCCGAGTTCCATCCAACTCCTTTTCTGCTAGAGCAGTGTGGATCACTTCTTCTCTCACCTGCGAGGAGTTGTAGGACGAGTCTGAGGTCGATTCTTGTATGGTTATATGTATATCATGCTTATTCATTATTGTAGCAGGATTTGGTAGCCAAAATCTAGCATCTATTGGCACACCAGCCATACTATTGCTGTTGAAATCGGGAATCAATTAGCCGAGATAGCTAATTCCCTGAAGAATTCTAGAGAGAGAAAAATTCATGAAATGAGGAGGCGATAGGATTAAGGGTTAGGGTTTATGGTTTAGGGTTTACGTTTAGGTGTAGGCTGTATGGTTTAACGTACAGAGTTTAGGATTTAGGGTTTAAGGTTAAGGTTTAGGGCTTAGGATTTAGGGTCATGTTTTAGGATTTTGGGTTAAGGTTTGTGGTTTAGGGTTTAAGGTTTTGAGTTTAGGATTTAGGGTTTAGGGTTTAGGTTCTAGAGTTTGGATTTAGGGTTTAAGGTTTAGGTTTAGGGTTAGGGTTTATGGTTTAGGGTTTATGGATTTTAGGGTCTAGGTTTTAGGGTAAAGGGTTTAGGGTTTAGGGGTTTAGGATTTATGGTTTAGAGTTTAGGGTTTAGGGTTTAGTGTTTAGGGTTTATGGTTAAAGTTCTAAAGTTTAGGTTTAGGGTTAGGATTTAGGGTTTAAGTTTACGGTTAGGGTTTATGGTTTATGGTTTAGTGTTTTGGGTTTAGAGTTTGGATTTAGGGTTTAGGGTTTATCATTAGGGTTAGGATTTAGGGTTTGGGGTTTAGAGTTTAGGGTATAGGGTTTACCGTTTAGAGTTTAGGATTTAGTGTTTAGGGTTTAGAGTTCGAGGTTTAGGGTTTAGGGTTTAGGTTTTATGGCTTAGGGTTTAGGCTTTAGTGTTTAGGGTTTTGGGTTTTGGGTTTAGGGTTAGTGTTTAGGGTTTAGGATTTAGGATTTAGGGTTTAGAGTTTAGGATCTAGGGTTTGGAGTGTGGATTTAGGGTTTAGGGTTTAGGTCTATTGTTTAGGGTCTAGTGTTTTTTTTTAATACCCTTTGATGGGTAGGGGCTGAGCTACACCCCCAGGCCTTACCATCTAACAAAGCAAAAGTAGAAGGAGGGGGGCATAAACCTAACCTCCGAACCTATGGTGGTTTAGTAGTCAACCTTCCTAGAAGGATAGTCAACTCATCCCTTTACAAAAAAAGGTAATCCAAGAGACTAAGCACCTAAAGAGAGGACTCCTCTCAATACATAGACTCTAGGAAACATAAATAAGGGAGACTCTCCCTTTACAATAGAAAATGAAAATCTATACCTATTCAAATAAGCTGTAATTTTAGTTACAGCTAAGTTGATGCAGTTGCAAATTCTTCAGGGGGGTTCCTTGATCTTCTTAATCCTTCTTCTTCTGAAACTTTCCATCTCAAGCATGTCTAGTTGATAATATGCTTTCGCTTCTTTTGGTAATTGATGACTGTTGAAATAAAGTTATGGACTAGTGATCTTATGACTGTGTTTTGAAAGGGAGTCAGCCACAAAGTTAGCTTCTCTGAGGGTGTGATTACATTGAAATTTATGTGTCTGCCTGATGAGTGCTTGTAGCTTCAGCATCTGTGTGTTGATGCTCCAATGGGGTTCGGCTTTGTGCATTATCCAATCAACCAAAAGCTGAAAATCCACCTCCAAAATGATTTTACTGTAACCTAGTTTGAGGGACTAGGTCATCCCAAAAATAGCTGCTTCTAGCTCAGCTTTGTTGTTGGTTCTTTCCCCCAAGGGAGTGGCAAAGGCTAACAACATTTCTACCTCTTGGTCCCTGAGGATGCCTCCTGCTCCTAATCTGCCTGGATTATTTAATGCACTACCATCAGAGTTAATTTTTACCCATTGATCTGGTGGCTTTATCCATACAACCGTAGTCACTTTGGTATCGTGGATGCATTTTTCCCCTTTGGAGATCAATTCCTTCCAGTTTGAGGGCCATCTGATTTGAGGGAATGTTTGTTTCATGAGTTTGTAGTTGTCCTTGTATATAGCATATTTGACTCTGCTCATATTGGACTGCTTCCCTCCATGTTTGCTAGCATATCTATTCTTCCATAGATTCCAGGAAATGAATATTGGAGTAGCTTGTAATAGCAGCCTATGTGCTTCATTGTTGTATTTGGTCGACCACCATTGAATGATTAGTTGTGGCAGAGAGCTGTGGTCAGTGTTGATTCCAGCAGCTGCAGCAAAGCTTCTCCACACGTATGTAGCAAAAGGTCCATTGTTGAAAGTGTGCTCTATGGTATCTGGGCCTGGCCTGTTACAACAACAAAAACAATTTGTTGGCTCATTGCCAAAACTGATTAGCTTGTCATTAGTAAGGAGTTTACCACGTAAAGTTCTCCATAACAAAAAAGAAGCTTTAAAAGGAATACTCTTGTGCCAAGTGAGGTTGTTAAAGTGAGTCTTGGTCTTCTTGTCCCTTATCTTATTCCATGCTGATGAACAGGTGAATTTTCCATTATTGCTCAGCTTCCTGATGGCTTAGTCTGGGAGGTCCAGCTGGATGTAGAGTTCTGTGGATAGGATGTTGGCTAGCTGCTTGTGTGGAGCTTGTTGAATAAGCATGTTCAAGTTCCATTGTCGCCCGACTCAAAATTTTGCCACAATTATATTGTTGAATCTGTTACTGCCTGAGGAGAATTGAGCAAGATGTCCAATACCTAACCAACTGTCCCACCAGAATGAGCAATTGCCAGAGTTAAGTTCCATTTAATATGTTCCTGGACTTTCTGCTTGTTGTGCATCAAATGTTTCTAGGTCAGTGACTCTCCTGTGTCCCATTTCTTACTGATAGGATTTGACCTTTGACAATACTTCGCTTTTAAAAAATCTCCCCAAAGAGTCTGTTTGGATCTAAAAATCCACCATTATTTATATTGGAAAGCCATGCACACATCCTTGAGATTTGTCATGCCAACACCTCCCTCATCATAAGGAAAGCTTAGCTTCTTCCAAGAAGCCCAGTGGTACTTTTTCCTCTCGTTCCTCCATCCCAAGAAGAAGTATGCCATGATGCTTTGGACCTGCTTTAGGACAGTAATAGGAGGGGTCACAACTTATAAGAGATGAATAGGCAGAGACTGCAATACATGTTTGACTATGATTGCTCTACCACCATAGCTCAACAACTTTGTTTGCCAACCTATGATTCTGCACAACACTTTGTTAAGAAGGTCAGAAAAATAGATAATCCTAGGTTTACCAACAAATAAAGGGCAACCAAGATAAGTGAGGGGACCCTCCTTCTGCCTGAAGGCAATGATTTTTTTGATCCTTTCCCTGGTGCTGTTGAATGCATTAGGATGGACCATGAAATGACTTTTATCAGTGTTAACAAGTTGGCCTGAGGTTTCTTCATAAGATTTCAAGGTTTTCATAATGAGCCTCAGGGTTTTTTGTCTTCCAGAAGTTAAAAGAATGATATCATCAGCAAAACTTAAGTGGTTCACTTGAGGACCTCTGGGTTCCATGAAGAAACCATGGTACTCTGGATTATTGTGAAGTTTGTTCAAGGATCTAGAAAGGACCTCTGCACCTAAAATAAATAGGGCAGGAGATAATGGATCACCTTGTTTGAGACCTCTAGTGGAGTGAAAGAACCCATGTCTTTTGCCATTGATAATAATAGAGTACCAATTGTTATCCATGATCCTCCAAACCATATCAATAAAGACCTCATCAAACCCCATTATTTTCAACACCAAGCATATATAGGACCAGGAGACCCTATCATATGCCTTAGCCATGTCCAACTTGATGACAACATTGCTTCCAATATTAGGTTTCTTAATCTGATGAATAATCTCTTGTGCCAGCATAATGTTCTCAGATATACTTCTCCCTTTGACAAATCCAGATTGGTTGAGGGACACTAACTCAGGTAGAATAGGACCAAGTCTAGAGCTCACCAATTTAGAAATGATCTTGCTAGTAAAGTTGCTTAAACTGATGGGCCTAAACTTAGTGAGTTTGTTGTGATTGCTCACTTTAGGAAGAAGAACAATGCAAGAGTGAGAAAAGTACTTAGGTATTATCTGGCCACAGAAAAAGGCTTGAATGACTCCAAAAAGATCATGTTTGATGATGTGCCAGTATTTCTGGAAGAAGTAGCCATTCATCCCATCCAGACCAGCTGCAGAATTAGGATTCATAGAGAATACTACCTCTTTCAACTCTTGTTTAGTAGGCATAGTAGTTAGGTTATTATTTTGCTCCTGGTTAACCATCCTAGGGATGCAATCCATAACACCCTAATTGATGAGATTGTTTTCCCCTGTAAAAATGCTCTGAAAATGGTCACAGGCAGCCTTAGCAATATCTTTTTCTCCCTGTATCCATTCCCCATCTTCCCTGATAAGTTTGTGGATAAATAACCTTCTTCTTCTTCCCCTAATCAGAGAGTGGAAATATTTAGTGTTGTAGTCACCTTCTTTGAACCATTATAGATGTGTTTTTTACTTCAAAATGAAGTCTTCTAGTTTCAAAAACTTGATATAGTCTGCATTCAGTTCATGAAGAATAACCCTGTTGCTGTTAGTGTGTTCTTGGATAAGTTTCTCTTTAACAATTCTGACCTTCTCTTCATACTCCCTGACTTTCATGAAGATATCACCAAATTCCCCTCTGGACCAAGTGCTGAGGGTGTTAGATAACCTCTTCAATTTCTGGTGGAATCTCCACATGTTGTTACCCTCTACATTCCTTTCCCATCAAGATTTAACCATGTCAAGGAAGTTCGGATGATCAGCCTAGCAGTTAAGAAATTTGAAGTATTTGATATGCTCCTCCTCCCTAGCAATCATTTCGAGAAGCAGAGGACAATGATCTGACCCTACAGAAGGTAAGTGGGTGATGGTAGTCTGAGGCATTTTTTCCAACCAAGTATCATTAACTAGAGCTCTGTTTAGTCTTTTCCATACTCCGTGGTGTATACCTCTGTTGTTGGACCAAGTATATTTCTGGCCACTGAAGCCTAAATCCAGGAGCCCACAAGCTTCAATCATAACTATGAATTCTAGGCTTTTTCTCATATTATAAGGTACTCCTCCCAGCTTTTCCTTAATGGCAGTAATAACATTGTAATCACCTACAGAGCACCAGGGTTTGTCATTATCAGCAGCAATGTAAAGCATTCTATCCCACAGAGGCCTTCTGAGATGGTCCTTGCACTTAGCATATACAAAAGTTGTGGTGAATTGGGTGTGAAGTTCATTATGTCAAATATCACAAGTAATTTGTTGTTCATCCTCCTCTAGTACAACACAGTCAATGTCTCTATTCCAAAAAAGCCAAATTTTTCCATTGCAATTACTCACTGCCTGTTCTATAGCTAATTGATGTTTGAAGTTTTGAACATGGATGGTGTCTGAAAAGGGTTCAAGGATAGCAATGATGGAGAGTTGGTGCATATTCTTGAGAATTTTGAGTCTATCAAGAACTCCCTGGGTGTTGATCCCCCTTACATTCCAGATGAGTGTACTAATCATTGAGATGATCTAGTAGTAAAGAGCCTAGTATTTGGTCTGCCAGCAGTGACAGTGTTGATGTCTTGAGTTTTGAATTTGAATCTATCATGTTGAATTCCTCTGGGAGATAGGCGCTGTTGATTGGCCACCTGTTGAATCTCATTCTCCAGGCCCTTATCAGGATGAGGGCTAAAAGCTCTAATAAGTAATTCACTAGTCTCATCATCCTCATCAGGGTCCTTGAGAGATTGATTATCCACATAAAGTTCATCCTTTGAATTGTCCACAGCATATTCATCTATTGTAGGACCTTTATTCATTTGACACTTTTCCGCCCTTTTATCAGGAGGAACATTAGTAGGAGGAGTCGTATATTGGGCCTGTAAGGGAGTTATATCCATGCCTAGTTGCTCATCAACCATAATGAACTTCTTGCAAATCTCCCCATTGTTTTGTTGATCACTATCTTGTTGTAAGTTTTGTTTCTTTTTTGCAGCTTCTCTTTTTTTTTGCTAGGTTTGTTCTTGCTTTTGGGTTTGTTCTTGCATTTGGGCGTGTTCCCTTGGTTGCTAGTACTAGCATTGGCTCCCAGATCTTTTTCCATAGATCCTTTATTCTGTTTGCCTGCAGTTCTTACCTCCACTTGTTGTTTTTCTCTGTAATATCCTGTCCCAGGTTGTTCTTGATGCTGCAGTTGTTGATTCTTAGGACTTTGATGTTGGCTTGTAGTGGTAGCAGGAGTTCTAGGTCTAGTATTATGGTCACAGTGTGTACCCTCATGCAGAACATGAGGCAAATTCCCCCCTTTGGACACCTCTTCCTGCCTGTTAGTTTGTTTCTCTTGACATCCCCAATCCATCCCTCCTTCAACTTCAACAGTGTCATCAAAATATGAAATATTGGAGTCTATGGGGATTGGGAGCATTGAGTCAATACCTGTATTTTTCCTGCATGTTAAGATTAGTAAAAGAATTATGGTTAGAAATATTGATTGTACCTGTTTGCTGTGCTCTGGTTTATGGTCGCTCCTTTGACAATTTGTTCTGTGGTGAGGTTGGTCTCCACATTGTCTTCTGTAGTCTTTCTTCCTGTGGTTTATTGTTTCTTCTTCTTGACACTTGCCATTCTTCTTCCTTTTGTTCCTCAGATTGTTGTTGATTGCTTCCTTCCTTGGTGCTATGGTGTTGTTGCTCCTCCTGTTCATTTGCATTGAATTACTTGTGATCATTGCATTGTTGTCCTGGTTCTCCTTTATTCATGTCTTTCATCTCTGTTCCTAGCTCTTTCCTTTGTTTGAAGTCCTCATCCCTTATTTTGAAGTTACAGTCACCTATCATGTGGCCGGGTCTAGTGTTTAGGGTTTCTGGTTCAGGGTTTAGGATTTAGGGTTAGGGTTTAGTGTTTAGGGTTTAGTGTTTAAGGTTTAGGTTTTTTTTTTATTATTATTTGAAGGACCCTTGGGGGGTCAGGGGCTTAGCAACACCCCCAGGCCTTATCATAAAAAAAACAAACAAAGTACAAGGAGGGGGACATAAACCTAACCTCCGATCCTATAGTGGTTCATCAGTCGACCTTCCTGCTAAAGATAGTCAACTTATCCCCATTCTAAAAAAGGAAACCTAAAAACTAAGCACCTAAAAGAGAGGACTCCTCTCGATTCAAAGATTCTAGAAATCGTAAATAAGGGAGACTCTCCCTTTACAAAAATAAGAGAAGAAACCCTATACCTATCCAAAGAAGCTATAATTACCAATCATAGCCAGTTCGTGGGTTGCACCCAACTTCATGGAGGTTGTTTAATTCTTCTAAGTCTCTTTCTTCTGAAATTTTGCATGCCCATTTTTTCCAGAATGTAGCTTCCTTGAGATGCACCTGGTAGTTGATTATAAGTGTAGAAATATTGGATAATATCTTGCCTATGACTCCATTTAGATAAATATCAGCTGTACAGTTAGCCTCCCTGAATGTATGTTTGCATTGGAAGTATTCACACTGACTACTGATATTTTTAAGTTCCTGAATATTCTGCTGAAGCTGCCAGGGTGGTGAGCTGTTGTGATTAAGCCATTTGCTAAGCAGCTCCGAGTCCACCTCCAAAATAATATTCTTATAT